ACACCTGTGCAATAATCATGCTGTCTAATCAGCATCTTGATATGCCACACCTGTGAGGTGGATGGATTATCTCGGCAAAGGAGAAGTGCTCACTAACACAGATTTAGACATATTTGTGAACAATATTTGAGAGAAATAGGCCTTTTGTGTACATAGAAAAAAGTCTTTGAGTTCAGCTCATGACAAATGGGGGCAAAAAAAAAAGTGTTGCGTTTATAATTTTGTTCAGTGTATTTATATTCATATAAATTATATATAAATATAATTAATATATAAACAACATTTTTCTTAAATATTTACATGCATGGGTGTGTATTTATACAGGTGCATCAAAGACTTAAACTACTTCAGTCTGTGTGCACTGAATTTATTTAATACATGAGTTTCACAATTTGAGTTGAATTACTGAAATGAACTTTTCCATGACATTCTAATTTATTGACATGCACCTGTATATACATAATAAATAGACACATCACACAGATATTTTATGTAAACAAAACCTTTTATTTGGATGCGATTAATAGCGATTAATCGTTTGACAGCACTAATATATATATATATATATACATATATATATAAGAATAACATATAAGTAATATATAAATATGAAAGACTACAATTTTAGAAGATTACAATTGAAAATTTATTTCTTTTTTGTATCATTCGTTGTTTCATGAATGCATTGTCTTTCTGTCCTTTATTTTTTCTTTTATTCTGCTATTGACCTTTGACAGTTTGAATTCTGCTGATCTCCTTTGTTTTTCTCCATGAGCTACTTTTCATTTGAAATGCTTTAAGACATACAAGTGAGCGGAAACAAAATTCAAGGGAAAATAGATTTGACTCTCTCTTTCGGTCACTTGAAGTCTGATTATTTAATATGGACATTGTTTGTTAAAACGTAACCACTGTATTCAAAGTTAAAGGCTTTGTGCTATTATAAACTGCCTACTTACCAAATTAGGTGTCAAATCAGGCATAATAATTGTATTTCAGTTTTTTTTCCTGTTCACAGTCTCCGTTATATTTCTGTCTCTTTTTTTCACTCCCTTTTATCACCTTAAAACACGTTAATATTTGATAATTGACAGATCACCAGAATAGCTCTGATTGTGCAGAAAACCAGATCGCAGGGTTTCCAGATTCTTGCAGGATCTGCTGGTTTCCTCGTGGCTGCATATGCTGTCGGTGAGATTGAGTTTTTAATCATCTTTACACTGTCAAGTATATTTCAAAGTATTAATCCTCTTATATTCGTGCACCCTGCCATACAATATTTACTCATCTTTTGTTTATTTATTGTTTTAAATGACTAAATAATCAGTATTACAACACATACTACCACAATATATAGCTACAGTTGTACTTTAAAAATGTACTTCACTTCTCTTTTTTCTATCTTTGGTTTTGTAGTAGGCGACAGAGTTGTGGGAGTTTTGATGTAGAAAATGTCACAATGCAAAAATATTTAAATGGACTTAAAAATAGGCTTTATTTTGACTTGAGGTTAATTATGACCTACGTTGGAGACACTGTAGTTGATTTATTCTGTTTGTCTGTTTAAACCGTTTCAAATTCCTCATAAAATACAGAAAGTACATTAAGAGTAATCGTTCAAACGTGACAAGTTGAACATGTCAAACAATTTGTGACCATAATAAAAAACAAATCATGCTAATTGTTGCCGTTCACCTTGAAGGGCAAGTGATTAATGCACATTGACAGAAATAAGAGTAGAAAGACGGTCCCTAATACAAACATGTCAGTCCTAATACAACATCTACCTCATTTTTCTCATAACATGAAGCTTGATAACTTACCGGGAGACAAAACTACAGTTAATCAAATGCCAGCTTGTGGGAGAGCGTCTAGGAAGCCTGTCAATTAATCAACACAATCAAGACTGGGGGGGGGCGGGTCGCTAGGCCATTATCGTGAGCATAGGTGGTGTCAGGCTGTCTGCCAATCAAACTGTTGTTTATGTGGGAGGGGTCTGTAGTTTGTCAATCACATAGTGAATGAAAGTTAGCAGTACTGAATGTTTTTTTTTTTAATGGTTATTTTGGACTATTGGTTGCATGCATATCTTATTGGTGTGACATTAATGGAATTGGTCACCCATAAATAAAAATTAGCTGAAAATGTTTGTTTCTTCATCAGATTTGGAGAAATGTAGCATTGCATCACTTGCTCACCAGTGGATGCTCTGCACTGAATGGGTGCCGTCAGAATGAGAGTCCAAACAACTGATAAAAACATCACAATAATCCACAAGCAATCCACAGCACTCCAGTCAAACAGTTAATGTCTTGTGAACCAAACAGCTGTGTGTTTGTAAGAAACAAAACATCAAGATGTTTTAAAAACTACAAAATTCAAGTCCATAATCCCATAATATAGCTTTCTCCAGTGAAAAGGTCATCTTGTCTGAATCAGAAATATGCACAGTCAAGCACATTTTTCCAAACAAATACAGATGCATCTCAATAAATTAGAATGTCGTGGAAAAGTTCA